TATCATCTTTTTAACAACTAAGTATGTTATGAAGTGTTAGGAGTGATTCTTTCCCAAGATTATAGTGGGTGATCATAATAAACTAATGGATGCTGAAATTCATCACTGAAAGGAATGGAGGAGGAAATTTGCCATATTGCCTTGTGAACAGTGCAAAGAGGATGGTTCGCAACTATGCCTGATAGTCTATTGTTGAAGGATTTCAGTTAAGAGATTTATCATACTGACTACTATTGTAGCTAGGGTGACCAGATGTCCCGATTTTATAGGAACAGTCCTGATTTTGGGGTCTTTTTCTTATATAGGCTCCTATTGCCCCCACCCCCGTCCCGATTTTTCACACTTGCTGTCTGGTCACCCTAATTGCAACTCAATAACTAAACAGGAGATACCAGAATTGAGAAATACACTGCATTAGGTCTTTTACAACTTTTCTGAGAGTCTATGGAGTTGATTAGTTCTCAAAAGCACATTACTGCCATCTGCTGCATCTAATGAGCAACAAACTCATTATTTAGATTTAGCTGTTTAGATTCTGTTTGGGAGAACAGAATAACAAAGACGCTGGATGCTGTTGCTTTTTTGAAAGACACACTAAAATCTAAAATGTGGTTTGCTAACAAAAGGTACACGATGAGTATTCACTCATCAAATGTGTAGCAAAATACCTCATTGTTGTATGTGGCAGGTGGCTACTTTGCATAATTTTAGAAATTTAGATTATAATTCAGTCCTGATGAGAGGATCATTGTCTGCTGATTACCTATTCCTGGTAGCCAAGATCAAAGGCTCAGGCTATACAAAGGAAAGGCTGAACTATTCATGGTAGTTCTAGTTCTGAGACAGTTAAGAACTTGTAACCATAGGGAAAACCCAGTTGTGGGTTTTGAAAGACTGACACCTACCAGAGCCTGAGGCTGGAGTTGGGGCAATCTCTGGCAAGCTTTTTAGCATGTGTGTAGGTTCTTTTATTGTTTTCAATAGGTTTTCTCTGTAATTATTTCACTCTAAGAATAAATGTGGTTTAGAGATAGTTGTACGGTAACTTGTAACTGCTTGCAATTACAGCTGTTGATAGCCTTCAAAGAGAAAGCAAAGCACAGATGGTAGTCTGTTTAGGCAGTGTCTTGCTGGGAATATCACAGTGTAGGTAGGGAACTGTGCAGCCTGGAAAAACCCATGGTCAGGAGGGAGAGACACGGGTCTCCACTCAAGAAAGTTGACAGCTGAGGAGCCAGGAGCCTAAAGTGAGTGCTTTTGCTGGACTGGGGGTGGAGTGGGAAGAGGGAGAAATACAAGTGCAGTTGCCCTGAACTATGACAAAGAAAATAGTGGATAGCATAGCCATTTAGAATGAATTTATAAAACTTATCACTGGATGCTTCATTGCTAGCAGCTGAGGAACGTAATTTTGCGCTATAGCTATGGGAATATCAGGAGCACGCATCCACATGTTGATGTATCACAATAGTTGATACCTGAATATTAATCTACACTTTGCAGTGTTAATGGATATTCCAAACACAGGCAAATGAAATTGATTCATTACTACAGAAGGGGATTTGAATTAGGAGCTTTTCCAAATGCATCTGATCTCCAACATGTGCAACTACAGATCTGATAACTTGCATATTTAGCACTTGTATATCTGTGTGATAGGTTCTACATGGAACCTCCAATTTCTGCCATCAGGTGAGATGCTGCACAGATAACAACCAGAATATACAGATTGCTTAGTTGTTGGTGGATTTGATGATGTACCAGTTTGTTTTTGTCTCAACTGAAATAGATCATAGAATATCAGGGTTGGAAGGGACCTCAGGAGGTCATCTAGTCCAACCCCCTGCTCAAAGCAGGGCCAATCCCCAGACAGATTTTTGCCCCAGATCCCTAAATGGCCCCTTCAAGGATTGAACTCACAACCCTGGGTTTAGCAGGCCAATGCTCAAACCACTGAGCTATGAAAAAAGTGACAAACAGTTAAGAACTGGGATCTGGTTTTGATACCATTTTATTAAACCATAATGACTCTATTACGAGGTACCCCAATCCTATATAATCGGAAGTTTCAGCAACTGCTGAAATACAGACACAAAGAAAGGTCTGGCTTTTTTTTTTTAAACATGCTCTTTGACTTTAGAGTGGCTGCTTCCCAAGAGGCCAGATACATATTTTTATTGTGTATTGTGATCCTAGAGGCACCAAGAAGGATTGCATTGTGTGTAGACCCTGTATACACACGAGTAACTATGACTACTAGTACCAGTATCAATTGCAAGGATGATAAGTGTGCTTAACTTCTAAGATGGTATGTTAGAGCAGGGGTGGCCAACCTGTGGCTCCGGAGCCACATGCAGCTCTTCAGAAGTTAATATGCGGCTCCTTGTATAGGCACCAACTCCGGGGCTGGAGCTACAGGTGCCAACTATCCAATGTGCTAGGGGATGCTCACTGCTCAACCCCTGGCTCTGCCACAGGCCCTGACCCCACTCCATCCCTTCCCACCCCCTCCCTGCCATGCCCTTGCTCCTGCCCAGAGCCTCCTGCATGCCACGAAACAGCTGACCGGGGAGGGTGGGGGAGGTGCTGATCGGTGGGGCTGTTGACGTATTACTGTGGCTCTTTGGCAATGTACACTGGTAAATTCTGGCTCCTTCTCAGGCTCAGGTTGGCCACCCCCCTTTGTTACTCTAACACAGATCACAGACAGTTTGCCTCACCCCTGTGGATGAGGATATTGAATCAGGCCAATGGTTAGAATTTATTGAGATCAGATGGGCCTAACTGCTCAAAAATGGAGCAGCTGTCATGGATATGTCCTGCTGGATGTTCCTGCTGACTGGGAGAACAAAAAAAGTTTAAACAATGTGCAAAGAGAACCAGACTGAGAGACCCCCAGACAAGCAAGGGGTGAAGAACAGTAGGGTGGGGATCAGGTGGGTCACCAGAAGATCTGGACTTGCCAGAATGTAAATTGGTTCTATTCTGTTCCTGTAACTTAACAGGATAGCTTATTTAACGTAACTTGTAGCAAAGCATAAGGTTAGATAAAACTAAATACACCAGGAGACTGTTGTTTTAAAATACCTTTTTCCCTTCTAATGCCTTATTCCAACTACTATTTTTTTTTAAAGAATGCTGCGGGTCTACATTACTAGTCAAAGGTTCCTGAAGGGAGGAAATGCAGGTGCCCAAAACCCAGTCAGACCTGCAGAGCAATATGTGATTGGTGTACACAGAGTAGTCTGTATCTCGGTCCCGGTCCAACAGTTTAAGAAGATTCCACCCCAAAAGAGGTAAGGACGAGAGACTCAAGACTTGACGTGGGTGCTCTCGGCAATGCAAAAAGGGACAAAGGTGTAGCTAGTGCCATAATTATAACAAAACACACACACAGGCTTTTGCCTCCTTTCTTTCAATGCTATTTAGCTAATATTTAGAAAACCACCACCTCAGTATAAACGTTCGATTCCAAGGAGGAAAAATGTAGCAGCCGTAGAAGCTTCCAACCATCCTGACCAGGCTCCATTCCAAGTTTTGGATTTCCTGCACATGCCCAGATCCTGCATTCAGACTTGTGTAGAAGTATGTAGTTCCAGACCGTCTTAACAATAGATATCACCTCTTCCTCCTCCCCCCCAGAGGGGCACTTCAAATGTAGTGTTTACCACCCTGTACAGAGCACATCTGTCCAGGACTATAGAATTCCTCTGGGATATTTGGACAGAGAGGATGCCCTGCTGGAAATGTTCTGGGTGTGGAAACCCTCCTCTTGTGTGTGAGAGAGAGAATATGGGGTAAGAGTTGTTAGCACCGGTATAGCCCCCCGGTATAGCCAGGCATTGAAACAGGAAGTACACACGGAGCAGTTTATGACCAGAATTCAGTCATGCACACGTGCAAGGCAGGAACTTGGAAAGAGGTCCCAGGGCCCCCAGCAAATGCACAGAGTTTTGAGATCCATTCTGTGCAAAATATGCAGCCACAGGCGTTGGGCACAAACAATTCACCTTCTGTAGGTGTGACAATGGCCCCAGCGCACCGCACTTTGCTCAGCCTGTTTTCCGCAGCCAGGGCCGGCTCTGGCTTTTTTGCCGCCCCAGGCAAAAAACCCTCCGGCCGCCCTCGGCCGGAGCCCCGGGGGGAGGGCAGCGAACCCCAGAGGGGGCTCCGCTCTCCCCCCGGCGGCCGGGGGGAGGGCGCCGCGGGGGAGGGCGGCCGGAGCCCCGGGGCGAGGGTGGCGAGCCTCGGCGGGGGCTCCGCTCTCCCCCCGGCGGCCGGGGGGAGGGCGCCAGAGGGGAGGGCGCCAGAGGGGAGGGCGGAGGGCGGCGAGCCCCGGCGGGGGCTCGGCTCCCCCGGCGGCCAGAGCGCCGGGGACAGGGCGGCGAGCCCGGCTGTGGCCCCGCTCTCCCCGGCGGCCGGAGCGCCCTGCCGCCCCCCTCCAGGTGCCGCCCCAAGCACCAGCTTGGTTGCCTGGTGCCTGGAGCCGCCCCTGCCCGCAAGTCACGGCGGCAGCAGTGACCCGGCGCACACCGGCAGCAGTAGCGGGGGCGCGCGAGCGCAGGGACCCAACCGTCTGGCCAAGCAAAGAGAAGGGGGGCGAGTGGCCGTGACGTGCCAGCGCCTCGCGTCTCTCCGGACCGGCCTGTGCCCGCGCGGCCAACCCCTCCCCACGGCTATTTCTGGCCCTTTGTGACACGCCGAGCGCGCGGAGGGGCGAGGCGCGCGCACGAGCACACCACACCCCGTCTGGGATCAAATCACTGCACCAACCCCGCCTGCTCCCCCGTCCCTTCGCTCCGCCCCAGCACGCCGCCCACGCGCACCGCAGCCCGCGAGCCAGCGCGCGTGTGTAGCCGACACTACCCCTCCGCATGCGCACGTTTGTCCCTGTGCGTGCGTGCGTGAGTCGTTTTACTCACCAGTCCCTGCTTCCGCCCGACCCAGGGAAACGGAAGGAAGGCGCCGCTTTATCCTCTTCCGGTTTCGTATCATGTGACGTCCCGTTCCCTACACAACATGGCGGCCCCCATGTTGCTGCCCGCGGCGGCTCCGGAAAAGCTGGGGTGAGTCTGGGGGCGTTGCCGTGATGCCCCCTCGCCCTGCCTGACGCTGGCGCTACAGGGGGGCCGCTCCCCGATGCCGGGCCCGCCAGGGCCGCTGTGCCGGCGGGAGATCCCACCCCCCGTGCTGCCATTAGCAACCGTGAGCCTGGGTAGTCCCGTCCCCCCCCCGCCAGGGTCGGCAGCGACATAAACACGATCCCTGCCTCGCGCTGCGCCGGTCTCGTCTGTGTGTGTCGTGGAGTTAGTCAGCGCCCCTCTCTCCCCCATAGATGTGTTATGGAGGATGAAGCAGCAACATTTTTGGATCCTGCCTGAATATTTGGGGCAAGAAAGAGAGAAGTCAGAGATGATTCTTCTCTCTCTCTCTCCAAAAGGCCCCATTACAGGCCTGAATGAGAGGAAGGCTGGAGATGGTGGTAACAGTGGCAGGAAATTGGAGAAGGGGAGAGGCTTTCAGAAGGAAATTATCATGAGTTCAGTTTTGGCTGCAGTAAATTTATCTTGATGAAGAGCCACATTGACAAGAGCTGTCAGATGCAGGCTGAGATGTACTATTGGCTAAAAATTAGAATTGGAAAGGTCGATCTGAGAATTATCTGTAGTATTTATACATCGAGACAATATTTAGAGGCGGAAGAGGGCAAGTACAGAGTTTTAAGGGCCCCACAGATAACAGAAGAGAGGAGGAAGAGGACCTTGCAAAAGAGATGCCGGAGGAATAATTGGGGAGATGTGAAAATAATTGAAAGAAGGTGGAATCAAAAACTATCAGTGCCAGCCTCATCTCCCCCATGTCATAAGCCAAAGAAGAATGTGATAAGGCGTGTGTGATCAGCATTATCATGTCAAAAGCAGCAGAGAGCTCGAGGATGAGGTTCTCATTTTTTTTAGCCCAACTATGATTATTATTAAGGCTGTGAGTTTGTCACGGAGGTCACAGAAGTTACGGATTCTGTGACCTCTGTGACTTCTGCAGCAGCAGGCCGCTGCTGGGGCAATCTTAGGCCACTGCCCCTCCCCCCACTACCACCAGCAGCAGAAGTTTGGGTTGGGAAATGGGATTTGGGGCTCAGGAGGGGGTGAGGGCTCTGGGTGGCGCTTACCTCGGGGGTGGTCCCTCAGAAGCGGTGACATCCCTCGGCTCCTAGGAGGAGGCACAGCCAGGGGACTCTGTGCACTGCCTCTATCTGCAGGCACTGCCCCCACAACTCCCATTGACTATGGTTCCCGGCCAATGGGAGCTGTGGAGCCGGTACTCGGGGAGGAGGCAGCATGCAGAACTGTGTGGCCACACTGCTGCCTAGCAGCTGAGGGATGTCGCCACTTCCGGTGCGGCGCAGAGCCGGGTAGGGAGCCTGCCAGCCCTGCCAACCCCCCGTTTCCCCCAGCACCAGCGCGGGTCCCGGCCACCCCCCTCCCTAATATTTAGTCAGGGATATATAGTACAAGTCACAGGCTGTGAATTTTTGTTTATTGCCTGTGACCTGTCCATGACTTTTACTAAAAATACCCATGACTAAAATGTAGCCTTAATTATTACTACTGTCCAGACAGAGTTCTAAAGACAAGTTTTGGTGCTTTTTTTAAACTAATGTCTGAAACTTTTATAGAAATACTGCTTCTGTGAATATTTGGTGTTATTTAGCATATTTGATTTTATGACTTTTGTGTTGATGACAAACTTGAAATTTTTAACTATACAACAAAAATGTTCTGATGACCTTTCATAATACAAGTGATGTACTTTACCATCTTTAGCCATAAAAAATACAAAGCTATTCTGAAGAAAGAAAAACGAAAGAAAAAGAGACAAGCACTTGCCAGATTAAGAGATTCAGGTAATAGATAAGTCTTTTTTGTTGTTACTTTGTAAGGATGTACCAGTTATTTTTTCTTGTCATAAAGACAAAGAAAGGAACATTAAAATGTGAGCCACGTTATCTGAAGGACCAGAAGACACAAAAAAATGATGCTCCAGAAGAATGAGATTTATAAAATAGAAATTTCCTTTAGGCGATCTGAGCATGTAGTGCATTATTACTCACATACAGTGTCAGATGACTTAAAACAATATGTAGTAAATATTTTTGAAGGTTCTTAAAGGTTTTTTTAAATGAATCTTAAGTTTAAGTCTACAAAAGTAAAGGAAAGCATGTACACTGACACAAGAATATCTCTGAAGAAATGGCATTTTTGAAGTTTACTAATTTAAAAAAAAAAGAGTGTAGCTCTAATTTGAACGTTTATATTATAGCATTTCTGTTATATATAGTGGTGAAGCCCAGGAGAAAAATTATATTTAGCTGCATGTACAGGGACATGTTACTTTTTCCTCAGAAATCACAGAAAAAAGTGAACCATTGCCTGAAGAGGAGGAACTAGAAGAAGAGGAAAAACAACTTGAGGCTGAAAGGTAAATAATCTAGAGTTTAAAATAATATCTGCAGTTGAAAAATTGTTGTTTAGTCTTTTATTTAATTTCATGTTGAAATCTCTGACAATTATATATTTTGTAAATCAAAATCTATTTTTATCCATATTATGTAGTGTACAGTCAAATTTCTCTAAAAAATTAACTTTGAATCCAACTGAGTTTCCTGTGCTCAGCAATTTCAGATAAACTGGACTTCCTTGTATCCATAACATATGCAACAATTTATCCAAAATCACTAAATTGGAAAATTTAAATCAGTGTATTTTGCCTAGTTTTAGCTCCTAGGATAAGCAACAAACATATGGCTGACTATTATAGCCCGCAAACATATGGCTGAACATATTATATTATGTTCTAGTCCTGCCCAGAATTAATGTTGATCTATTTGGAAGCATATCCCAAGAAACTCGTAATCTGGCAACAGAATAAAAACGGAAGTATAACTCTCTAAAATTCTGTTCAATTCTCCTACATTTTTCCAGAATCAAAACGGCACTTTGGTATCAAAAGAACGTGACTAAGCAGCTTTTGGGGGAAATGTAATGTTAAGAAAAAAAATTGTAATATCTTGCTGTGTTAAATAATTATAACTATGTTTAATAAGCCTGCAACCATGGCTCCTGAAATATAAACAAAAGTATGTCTACAAATCGCTGATGAACACTGGACTTCTCTTGCTAATTAGCATCTGATTTTATTGGTAGGCAAAAACTACATGAGGAATGGTTGCTGAGAGAAGAAAAGGCTCAAGAGGACTTCAGGCTCAAGAAGGAAAAGGAAGAGGCCATGAGAAGACTTCAGGAGGAAGAGGAGGTGAAGTATAAATTGAGAACAGTGTTTCACTGTACTATACTGCTCATCATTTGGGGAAAATATTAATGTCTTTCTGTTGCATAGCAGCTACACAATGCTTAGAAGTCTAGTATGTTTATTTTTTTCAGTTTTGATCTTAAAAAACATACAAATCATTCCTCACCAAAGGATATCTATCCAATGCTCTGGCCACCCTTGACATAAATCTAAAAACTCAGTTCTGGAAAGGTTACAACATATAGCATGGTTGATGGCAGGATGGATAAAATTCAATTATTATTTAAAAAAAAAATCAGATTTAAAAAATAAATAAATACAGGTTTATTGTTAAAAATTGTGCTGAATTCAAATTTAAATTTGAAATGAGAATATCAAATATGTTAAGGCCTATTTGTGACAGGTTGGACTCCCTGAGATGTCACCTGGTGTGCTGGGACATCACTGAGTCAGACTATTCTGCCAGCTTGGGCCCCTTTTTACCTGGTCTTGCTGGGCTAGGCTCCCCAGCCTTTTCCAGCCCAGCACACCTGCAGGGCCACACCCAGCTGCACAGGGAGACAGAGATCTGCTCTGGGAAGGCTCAGTTTAAGGGGCTTGCCACAGTACCCAGATGTTCACCCCTCCCCTCCCCCTTGAAGTACAAACCCAAAATTATATGAAATTCGCTTCTTCTCTCAATGTGGAGAAGGGTCTGCACAACTTCTCTCCCCCCCATTTAGAAATCACATAAACTGGATTATATTGTAAACCAGAAATAAATGTATTAACTATAACAGGTGTATTTTAAGTAGTTAAGGAGGTAGCAGATAAAACAAGGTAGATTACTAAGAAAATAAAACAGAGCACACAGACTAAGCTTAATACACTAAAGAAACTGGTTACATGTAAGTTCTCACCCAAATATGGTTCTAATAATCTTCTTCACAGGTCAGACGCCCTTCCAGCCTGGGTCCAGTTCTTTCCCTCATTTCAGTCTTAGTTGTTTCCAGTAGTCATCTTGGGTTGGGAGCAGGGGAGAACTGATGACCTGGCTTACCTCACTCCCCACCCTTAAATAGGATTTGCATAAGGCGGGAGTCCTTTGTTTCCTAGTTTGACCCCTGTCCCCAGCTTCTCCTGAAAAAGTACAGAATTCAAGATGGATTCCAGTATCAGGTGACATGGTCACATGCCTCTGTAGGGCCCCGGTAGCCATTCTTCACAGGCTGACCCACATGTTCACAGGAAGACTAAGCTCTTTTACAGTCCATTGTCTCTTGCTGATGGGCCATCAGCCCTGTCTGACTTTTTCATTGTTGTACCTGAAGTGTTAGCTGGGGCATCATCCAAAGTAGCATAGTTGAAATACAGATACATAGTCAATATTCCTAACTTCAGATACAGAACTGATACAGGCATACAAATTGGATAATCACATTCAGTAAATGATAACATTTCCAATAATATCTCACATGAGCCATCGTGCATAAAGTATATTTCAGTTATGTCACCTTCATATCATAAGCATATTTTCATAAAGGATATGGAATGACCCGTCACACTAGCTTTATTGTAATCTATTAAAATTTAAATTAAATAAAAATATTTAAGCAATACATGCTTGCTGCCAAGTTTTGAAGAAAGTCAACCAGTGGAAGTCACTGGCTGAGCACCTGGAATCAGAGTTTGCTGAAGTACTGAGCCAGCTTTTGATAGCAGTAGCTCTTCTGCAGATGCATAGACAATATTGTCTTCATCTCAGTTTATTCAGCAAATTCAATTACATTATTGTAGTTCATTCAGAGTTAAGAAACCAATGGGGAGTTGAAAAAGCATGAAAGCTTATTTTCTTCTACCAGTCTTGGGGTGAGAGGATAAGATCGACTACTTCTAAAATCTTGAAGGACTTGGTGATCAGTTCAATTCACTCTTTTCCTCCTTTGGTATAACCCCTTCTTGTCGACTGTTGAGAATAGGCCAATTCCACCTTAATTGAATTGGCCTCCTTAGCACTGACCCCCCACTTGGTAAGGCAACTCCCATGTTTTCATGTATTGTAATATTTATACTGCTCACTGTATTTTTCACTCCATGAATCTGATGAAGTGGGTTTTAGCCCACAAAAGCTTATGCCCAAATAAATTTGTTAGTCTCTAAGGTGCCACAAGAACTCCTTGTTGTTTTTGCTGATACAGACTAACACGGCTACCACTCTGAAATCTTTACAGATTGTTTCCTTTGTTTAATAAATCAGTTTAAATGCAAAACATGTTTTAATTAACCTTTTCCTTATGTATCCAGTGCATTGTAGGTAGTTTTATTTAATAACAAAAATTTTAAAATGCTGTCTTTGTGCATATTTAATTGAATTCAAATATCCATCCAAATAAAGCCTGGCACAGATTGCAGGTACAAAATTATCTAGTAAATAAGAAATGCATCACTTACCATTTTTTACCATATAAAAATGTAAACATTAAGAATCTGAATAAATGTAAGTTAAGCTATATAATTGCTTAAATGTATATAGATATATATTGTGTATCCTGGTTTGCAAAAAGTACCAAATTTTGTGGAAAGGCTACATTTAGTTGCAAATCAACAAATTATAATGGTTACCAAATAATGAGAATCAACACTTCTTTAGGAAAATAATTAAGATGTATAAATGCAAAACAGGATTAAAATTAAAGATTTAAATCAGGGTTTATTGCTTGGTGATTTAAAACATAATTAAAATTGACAATTTAAGTTGCTTTGATATAAATCAGTCCACCCTGGGTGATGGTTTTGGATTTACCTATAGTTTTCTCATTCACGTACATATGTGTATGTATTGTATTTTTGAAAGAATATTCTTTTAATCACTTACCAAGAAAAATGAACAGTTTATCTTTCTTCTCATAAAGAGAAAGATAAAAGAAGAATGGGAAGAACAGCAAAGGAAGGAGAGAGAAGAGGAGGAGCAGAAGCAACAGGAGAAGAGAGAAAGAGAGGTGATGCCTGCACTAGGAGGATAAACACACTGCATATCCTCTTACAGTACCAGATGTAACAGTCTTGTCTTTATGCATCTGTTTATTGGAGTTAGAAAATGGGGAGTGGAAATAATTGACGGGTGTTTTTCTGAGACCTGGAAGTAGACCCTCTGTATTTTATTTTAATGAAGCCTTATATTGGGGATAAAAATTAAACAAAAATAGCCTTAGTCCTTCAGTTTGTGTAGCAACGTATGGCTTCTTGTATTACACTTCCCCTGTAATTATTTGCATTGGGGAATATGAAGGTATATTGCTGGCACCCGTTCTCTCAGGTGCACTTAACACGTGACACGTTAAAGATAACTCTCAACATAGTATTGTATGTTTTCCCTATCAGACATCTAAGCAATCTTAATGTAATCATTTTTAAAAAGTTCCTTACATTGATCTGGAATTATATTGCTGCTGTTCCTTAACAGTGTTCTTACTCAAAAGATGTTACAGGTCTTCTTTACCTGACTCATTCATCAGGATGTATCTTTTTCATAACTTGTTGGGTGGGGAAGAACACAATATTGAAAAGTGTTAACAGTTGTATAATTAATTTAACCAAAAAAAGTTATTTGGTAGAGTATCTGCTTAGAATTTAGAGAGATTGTAGCTGCCCCCTGGGATTTCCTCCTACAAAGGTCCAAAGTGAGGTTGACCCACTGCTGTCATCGGGGAAGGATGATCACAACTTTCTGGAGTTCATCCATCTCATTTCAACTTCTCCAGAGCAGCAAGAGATGAAAACTGATCTGATCCTACTCAGTTTCATTCAGAGCTGCTTCACCAGAAACAAAGATGTGATTCAGCCCACCGCCATCTTCAAGTAGCTGCAGCAGGAGAGGAGAGAGAACAAGTAGTTTTCCCTCCTGCTTTTAATAATGGAAGATAGCACTGAGGCTACTGTACATAATACATTAACTCCTCGCTTAACGTTGTAGTTATGTTCCTGAAAAAGGCTACTTTAAGTTAATCCAATTTCCCCATAAGAATTATTGTACATGGGGGCGGGGGTGAGAGGAAGGGGAGAGGTTAGGTTCCAGGGAAATTTTTTTCGCCAGACAAAAGACATTATATAAATATACAGTATAAGTTTTAAATAATTTTAAACAAACAATTTAATACCGTACTCAACAATGATTGTGAAGCTTGGTTGAGGCAGGGGCTAGCGGGTGCGGGGGCTTGCTCCGCCCACCTGGCGCTCCTGCTGGGGGTCGGGGCATGGGGGCTTGCCCACTCCCTGGGTGGAGCGGGGCAAGCCTCCGTGCCTTGACCCTGCTCCCCAGCAAGAGTGCTGGGCAGGCAGACTGGGGCAAGCCCCCACGCCCCAAACCCGTTCCCCGCAGGAGCGCTGGGCGGGTAGGCGAAGCGGGGTGAGCCAAACAACCTTATAACGGAACATTGCGCAAATTTAAATGAGTATGTTCTCTAATAGATCAGCAACCTAATAACAAAACGTTAACCGGGATGACTTTAAGTGAGGAGTTACTGTACTTCTCCAGTAGAAGCAAAAGAGTAACACTGACAGGAATTGTCAGTCTCTCTTTGGAACTACTGAGGAAGTGATATGGGTGGCGGCAGCTACCAAGACACAGATATGATCATCTAGATCAGGGATTCTCAAACTGGGGGTTAGGATCCCTCATGGGGTCGTGAGTTTATTACATGGGGGGTCGCGAGCTATCAGCCCCCACCCCAGACCCCATTTTGCATCCACCATTTATAATGGTGTTAAATATATTTAAAAGTGTTTTTAATTTATAAGGGGGGGTCACACTCGGAGGCTTGCTATGTGAAAGGGGTCACCAGTACAAAAGTTTGAGAATCACTGATCTAGAGAAAGTAAAATGGGGGTTAGTGGTAGAAGTGGACAGTAGACTAGGAGGATAGAAGACTGATCCAAATGGAATGAAAGGGTGGAGACTGTAAAAGAAGGAAATGATGGTTGGGCTTGGTTCAGCAGTCAGTACTTGCCCAGCGGGGGCAGAATGATGTCCCTCATTCCCTGGGTAAACAGGTGCTGGGAATATTGTGCTGTCTGGCTGCAAAAGCAGTTCTATCCACCACTCCCCCTCTCCCTCCACTTAACAGAAAGTAGCTATGATGCATGTCTTCTGTGTATGATTCTAGATGTCCAAACCAAGATGAAGGTATAAGGAGAACCTCAAACATGGTGGGATAGACTGAAATGGAGAGAAGAGAAAACAATAGAAAGATTAAAATGAGAACTAAAGGGGAAGAGAGTGGTAGAAATAAGGTGTTAGTTGTGAATTCCTGGGATCCAGTAGACAGTGTAGAAGAGCACTACCGAGCTGACAGAATAAATGTCATGCTTAACTAAAGGGAGTGCATATTTGTTGCTTCTGGCCAGCGGAAATTTGTGAATTGTTAGCTAAAACTGGTTCCAGAATTCTTCGTGGTCACCTGATGGTGGTCCACGGACAATTACGTGGTCAAATGGTGCTGACACTGCACCTTATTTCAGCTGCTAAATTGCATTAAGATCAATATAAATATATTACATACTCTCCTAAAATTGCTCTTCGATGTAAACGATTGCTGTAATTGCCCAGGAACTATATCTGATCAACACTTGGAAGGGAAGTGGTCCACATGATTGTGACTGGGAAGGGAGTTGGGTCCATGAGCCATTCGTTATTAATACGTGGTTCAGTCCATAAAAAAGCTTGAGAACACCAGAGCTAAAATAAAATCCAAAACTTTTGCTATATATGTTACTGAGTGGGCAGTGTGTATGCAAAGAGACCTATGACTAGGAAAATCCAAAGCTAACTTATTAATATTAAAAATGCATTTTAAACTTAAGTGGTCACTTCTCTTGGCTTGTCCTGAATTCCATTTTATATTTATGCCTACTTATCAAGCAGAGTGTTAGTGCCACAGATATGTTTAGGTGTGCAAAGTAACATATAGTTCAGTGACAGCAAAAGTAGAGAAAGAAAACTACTAGTTTCAAAAGTAACTTTGTGAAGTGCTCTAGCATTTAGATATTAGAAAACACTCATCTACATTGAAGTCTTCTCAGATGTATCCTTTAACAACATTATAGGGGTCTGACTTATTGCAAAGCAAAAAATCATTTTTCAGTGTTTTTAAAACAAACCACCACACTTCTTTAGCGTGTATAGTCATTAAATATTACAAATTAGGTTCTTAACTAAAGAAACCAGATGAGTTACCTCCCTTCAGGGTTTTCACTAGTCCTGTGTTTGCACCATTTATAGGAAGCTGTGCAGAAGATGCTGGATCAAGCTGAAAGTCAGGTATGTTCAGTCTCTTTTCAATAAAGAACTGAAAGATGACTATTGACTACCATCTGACTCTTGTCTTCTGGAATGATATTCATCTCTTTTGAAGAGAAGCTAATGGCCTTGTATAATTTAATATGTAATGGTTTCCATTAGCCATAAACAATGTATTTACTAACTGGAACATATAATTAAGCACATTTGTGGCTACTTGGTAGCAGTGCAGCTATGCAGGAGAGCCAGGTCTAGAATGATTTTGGGATTCTGCTTTCTGGGCCACTGAAGACTTGATATGATGGCATGTTTTCTTTGAATAAAAGCACTGCAGCAGGAGAGAGTACTGATTCTGAAATAAAGAGGGAACCACTTGGGTACCTGGAAGAGTGCAGATCTCAAATTGGTAAAAAGTATTAAGGAAATCTGCAGAATGTTCTTAAATTAGATCTCAGTGTCTGAATTCAGTCTCTCCATTTCTTTAAAAGAAAACAACTCATTTTATCTCACCCAGGCAGTAAAGGTTTGTAAAGGTTCTTGCACTGAATAGACTCTTGCACCTATCTGAAAAGTAAACTTAATTATAGTTACCCATTTCAGAGTTGATTGCTCTTAGCCACGTTGGAATAGTGTTGGATTCTCAGTTATATTTAGACTGAGCAAAGGAACTAAACTTCTAATTGACAAAATCTGGATGGAATACTGCTTTGACTGTTTTTACTGTCTAAGGCTCTAAATGCACTTCTGAGAGAGAAACAAAGGGGAAATGTAGTATATTGGAGTTTGAAATTGAAAGATATAAGGTTTCAGTTGGTGAGTTCTACCACTGCGGAAGCCACAAATGGCATTCTGCTCCTGCCCCCCCCCAAATGGTGCTATCACCAGTAGAAGTGCCAACTGTACATAATCATAGCTTTCAGTTTATTTGATGTGAGAAGCGCTACTTCAACACTTTTCCAAACTGCTTTGCTTATTAAAATGGGTAAAATTCACCTTTTTAAGGGTGCTTCCAACTTTGCTTCTAGTCAACAAACATTTGCAATTTGGTAATCTCATACTGCATTTTAGAAGTCCCAGGCCAGTGGCTTAAGTCCAAAACTAGAAATGGGGAATTCCTGAGTTTTAATCATAGCTCTGGTAGATTTTTTTGTTTTGTTTTTTGTGTGGCCCTGAGCCAAGTTACTTTAAGTTTAGTACTTCATTTTTCCTAACTGCATTAAAAATTGATACTTGTTTACCTACTTCACTGGGCTGTTGTAAGGATAAATTAATGGACCCAACCCTCAGTTCCTGCCAGAAAGCATTCAGCCCAATTCAGGAAAGGGGGTGCAAAGGTGTCTTTAGCCACTGTTACACTCTCCCGGTCCTGGGGTTGCTTTGCTCTCAGGTGGGTCTCTTCCCTGAGGATCCCCCTATGCTAGGATGGTGGGCTACCCTAATGCAAGAAAGAATATTTGTAATTCTCTTTGAGGGCGTAAGTCCAGTGTAAGGACTGAGTACTGTCATTGTTTGTAAAAACTTAATGTATCCTGGACTCTGGCAAATGGAAAATTTCCATTTGTGATCTTAAGTTCATTTTGTGTAGAGTTTCCAAGGAAGAGCTGTCCATCTTTGGATAGATTAGAGGCACTTGGATGACCATACAGAGCTGTATTTAAAATACTTGGTTCAAAGTCACCTGGGTGTCAAAGGAGATAACATTGAATTACATCAGTATTGAATTTGACTCCTTGCTGTCACATTTATTTATTTATTTATTTATTTTTATTTTATTGTGTTCTGCTCGTTAAGGTAATATGTTAATGGTGTTTTTAAACAGCTGGAAAATGGCGCTACCTGGCATAACCCAGAACCCCCAGAGAACATAGGAACGGAGAAAGATCGAGCTAATTGCCCATTTTATATCAAAACAGGATCCTGCAGATTTGGAGACAGGTAACTGGTCAAATGTTGGGAATATAACATGGTTTAAAGGGGTTAGCTCCTTTGGGATTTCTTACAGGTTTGTGATCAGATTATCTTCTCACTATTGCTTGGTGGGTTTCCTGTAGACTTATTGGATAGGATTCTGTTCTCAGTTATACAGCTGTGAATTGAGAGTAAAAGCAGTGCACAGTCAGAATTGGGTTATCTTTTTTTTATTAGAACATTAAACTGCTAATAGTGTGGTCCCAGTTTTGATCTGACTGACTGATTCAGCAGAAGCGTTTGCAGTGGTAGATCATTATGCCATCAGAGTATATCCAGTTTCCTATTTTTATTGGTGCAGCTCCAAAAGAATATATCCAGTCAGATGTCTTAATTAATTTGCATACACTGCACCTAAAACAGCTACAAAAGCAAGGTAGTGTACATCTGCATGACTGGATGTGTCATGTGACTTTCCAGTATCTCATTTTTACAGTACACATGATCATTGCACATGGTCCATCTAATTTAGTATCCTTTCTCAAAAAGTGCTCTAATTTCTTACTGATTGCCTCTGAAAACTTAATAAGCCCTAATGTGTTCCCATGACTTGAATCACATGTGTTGCCTTTCTTTGGCATTCTTCTGTTATGAAATATATAAAATGAATGGTACAGAAGGTCAGTAGGGTGCTCTTAACATCTTGCAATACCAGAAGGGGCCGTACCATCAAATTGAAAGGAAACAAAATTAAACCTGAAATTAAGCATTTCTGTATAATTCATAAATAAGCAGTGGAAGTCTACATGTTGAAGTTGAGCTTAGTAGATTTCAAAGTTAGACTCGTGTCAAAAATGAAAACATATTTATAGTAGATAGGATCTGAGTATATGTCAATCAGTAATTGCTTGGAGATAGGAAGAAACTCTCTTCCTATGGACAGCCTATTCCATAGTTGTCTGTTACAGGGCTTGTACCTTTCTCTATAGTATTTGCTCTTTACTGCTGTCAGACTTGATACTGAGGTAGATTGACCATTGGTCTGATTCAGTATAACAGAATTCCATTTAACTGATCTAATTGGGACCGGGGCCAGATCGGATAATCAGAAAGTGGGATAATCTGGAGAATGAGAGAGTGCAATGCTGCAGCACTAGCTAGCAATACTTCTGGCCCTGGAGTCTTGGTTGTTTGGTTAATGCGACGAGCGGGAAAATGGAGGGTTGGATAAACGGGGTTCTACGTTACTATATCATGAACAAACCTACTAGCTTTATAGTAACATGGTTTCTGTATTTTCCAATTTTAGTTTCCTATCATATAAGGTTTGTTTGTATAGCGTTTTAATAAATGTGGTAGTTTGACTGCACAATGTTTGCAGCTTTAGCAGTGTAGCCTTTGCTGAAAGTGGAGTGTTTTTTTCTTTACCATAAATTATATAGGTGTTCCCGCAAACATAACTACCCAACATCTAGTCAGACGCTTCTGATCAGAGGTATGTTTGTTACGTTTGGGATGGAGCAGTGTAGAAGAGATGACTATGATACAGATGCGAGTCTTGAATACAGTGAGGAGGAAACGTACCAGCAGTTCTTAGACTTCTATGAAGATGTACTGCCTGAGTTCAAGAATGTGGGAAAGGTTATTCAATTCAAGGTATGCATATGAGCCCAATGATAATCATCACCTCTCATTGTTCCTTTGCCAGTTTTGACTAGTGTAAATCTCAATTGTGGAATATGCCATAGCTAAGTTTAATGTACAGTTTCTCAATTCAAACTGCATATTCCTGATGGTACCTGTAAACTAATCTCTGTGTCATCACAGAGGATTGTATTTCTTCAAGTTACAGGTGAAATCCCTCCCAAAACTTATTTTGGGACAAACTCACAACATAGCTATAAAATTACCTTTTGAAACAATCTGCTTATTTCTCAGCCCCCATCTTACTAAGCTTTCGAGCAGTCCAGCAGATTCTCAGATCATTTTCAGGGCTGAAAAATTTTACCAACCACCTACTAGCCCAAGGACTAAGCCTTTTAGCCAAAGTAAAGGTAGCTGTGCTGCCATGGCAGTGCGTCCCTCACCTTCCCCCTTTCCCCTTACAAGCTATGCCCATGGCAATTTAATGGAGTAAAATGGTTATATGCTTGATTTATTTAGAACACAGTCAACTTTCTGTTTAATTCACTTTTAAAAAATGTAACTTGCTACTAGGGCTTGGTGAAGAGCAGAAAAATATTTGTTTGACAAATTGAACTAGTATGAAAGTAAAATGTTTGAATAGTACCTGACCAGTTAGAAATGGTAGAATTTATTGCAGAAACTGCAGCTTTGACCAAACACCAGCTTTTTATAGTTGCTGCAAGTTTGAGTGGTGGTAGACCACCTGCACCAGGTTGCAGTGCCACTCAATCAAATTTGGCCCGGCTGCCCCTTTGTCATGAGCAGGTGGGGGCGGAGGCCAATGAGGAGAAGGATGGGGCCATGGATCCATGTGGGTTGAGGCCAGGCTTCCCAGGAGGCTTTTCCTGCTCACCGCCCAAGCTCTGTGGTGAGTGCTGCTGCCTGCATTTGGCCCTGCTGGTGCTGGCCTTGCACGTTGTCTTGATGCAGTTTTGCCTCCACCAAGTGATGTGAGCTGGGTCTGCCAAGAAGGAGCTTCTGTGTGATCTTGAGGACTTCGCTTTCTGTGGCTGCCCAGCTGCATCAGAGGATGGGCTTGGGGAGGCCTAAGTGAATGGGGCCGGGCTGAGACTTGTGCCTCCCACAGGCACAGGGCTTGGGACAGCGGAGCCCCAGCAGTTGCAGCCCCCCACAGGCCTTCAGAGGTCTCTGTGCCTGAGGCCAACTCTAGAGCACAGGGCCCTCCACACCAAAACTGCAACTTTAATCAACTCTGGCTACAACCTTTGAACCAAAAAAACCACAGTTTTCTTTTCTGACAGCCTTAATTCTGATCTATTCCAAGAAAGAGAAATATCTTCTCGTGACCAGTCCTGATGGTTTTCCATTTTTATCCCTTCACCCTCTTTCCTTTGTTGGACTCTCTACCTTTCCCTCCCCAAAAATATTTTTTCTCCTGTTGTACAATACACCTGTCCATTGTTGGGAATTGTATTACAAAACAAAATTCCCACCTGAACGCTGTGAATTGCATTGTTGATAATGAGGCTTGGGGGATCAGAAAGCAAGGCAATACACTGACTTTTTATGGGATTTCATTACACAGTAGTATATACAGGAGTTGAGTTAGCTGATGATCTGGCCAAAGTTGGAAGATCCGAAACTCACGTTGGAATGACAATGGTTGAGGATATTGATGCCTTATCAAGGAAAATATTAGCTGAAATAAATGGTTGAAAGACAAGATCTTCTGATACCAAAGGATTTCAGAAAATAACATCCACTATTGTGAGAGTAAGGACACTGTAGGAATGAACATCAGCAGACACAGGACTAAGATATATGCACTCTGCAAGATGTTTCAGGAGCAGGCTTTCACAACCACCTATGCCTTTGAATGTAGTATTGTATGGATTTGACACCTTGCATCAAGCCCTTACAAAGAACCTTGTAGGAATTCAGTGTTTCTCAAACTGGGGTTGCCGCTTGTGTAGGGAAAGCCCCTGGCGGGCCGGGCCTGGCCGGTTTGTTTACCTGCCCCGTCCGCAGGTCCAGCCGATCACGGCACCCACTGGCTACGGTTCGCTGCCCCAGGCCAATGGGAGCTGCTGGAAGCGGCGCGGGCCGAGGGACTAACTGGCCACCGCTTCCAGCAGCCCCCGTTGCCCTGCAGCAGCGAACCGCGGCCAGTGGGAGCCGCGATCAGCCGGACCTGCGGACGGGGCAGGTAAACAAACCGGCCTGGCCCGCCAGGGGCTTTACCTACACAAGCGACGACCCTAGTTTAAGAAACACTGACCTAATTCATTCGCAGATTCCATGCCTGACATAATTATTGTGGGACAAGACAACAACAAATTCCCACCAGTCCAGGTATAGACAGTGTTCCCAAGGCCAGTCCCAGTTGTACTGCCATGGCAATTAAACCTGCTTTTCATCAGGTTTAACATGGTGATAAACACTTGAAGCTGAAGAGCCTTGTCAACACTAAAGCTACAATTGGTTAACTTGCACTGGTCGGTATTTTTATAAAATTCCCTAGTGTGCACACGGCTTATTTCTTGCATGTCAATGGTGTGATCTGTGGTACACTATTGGTAAAAGCTTGTCTGTATTATGCTGCTCTGGGGCCATTCTATATCTAATGCGGGGTCGGCAACCTTTCAGAAGTGGTGTGCCAAGTCTTCATTTAGTCACTCTAATTTAAGGTTTCGCGTGCCAGTAATACATCTTAACATTTTTAGAAGGTCTCTTTCTATATGTCTATAATATATAACTAAACTATTGTTGTATGTAAAGCAAATAAGGGTTTTCAAATGTTTAAGAAGCTTCATTTGAAATTAAATTAAAATGCAGAGTCCCCCGAACCAGTGGCCAGGACCCAGGCAGTGTGAGTGCCACTGAAAATCCGCTCGCGTGCCGCCTTCGGCATGTGTGCCATAGGTTGCCTACCCCGGATCTAATGGCTTTGAGTTATTTTACAGTGTCTGAGCCAGAAATGTTGACTGTATCACTACTTACTAATAAGCTAATACCACATTCTCTTTATTCAAGTATTTCACCTATATTTGTCTGAAAATTCCTATTCTAAGCATTTTCAACCTGGGTAACTTAGTCTGATCAGTAAGTTAAATCTGAAATAATGTGCCTTTATGTAAAATTTCACAAAGATTAGAGAAATCTGTTTGTGCAACAAAACCATGCCAGCAAAAGAGCTTTTAAATCACTTTCAATGGAATGAAACCAACTTTTTGATACAGTACAGGAAAGAAAACAACAGTAGGGGCTAAATATTTAAGAGCTATTTGCATAATAGCCTTCTTTCTCCTGTCCTTCTCTTTATTCCTAGTCAGATTGAGATGGTTTTATGTGAATTTAGGAATTAGTGCTTAGTGCCCACTTCAGAGCTGGAATATCTCATATTTAAAAGGGTGGCGACCCCAACATTTTTTTACACTTCTGGTGATTTCATTCTTGCTGTTGCTCCCACAACCTCCCAAAATATCAAACTTTTCCAGTGTCAGCATTGCTTGTCTGATGAAATACGTGTTGTGGCTATTTTTTCATATCTGATTTTTCACTTCTGTTGTTTTTCTCCGTCTCCTTGTTCATTCTCCTCCGTGTCTTGTCAGTTTTTCCTCTCCTATAAGTGCTATTTGTGTCTAATGATGCGCATTAGCAGCTCCAGCACTTCTAGCATTTATTACTACTATCTTTAGCTATTAAAAGTCCAGCTGGTGTGGACTGCCTTTGTAATGTTGGTGATGCCTTCGTACAGTCCAGCTGGCCAGAACACCATGTAATCAGGAGGATTAATCATGTGGTGACACATCAGTGTTGCCTACCCAGGGTGCCCTTCTAGAGAATAAAACAGAACCTGATTAACAGAGCATGAGGTGTAGTATGAGGAGATGCGTGTGTGTGTCTATGTGTTCAACTAAAAGCTGTCAGCTACAGGGGAAAAGAAAACTCCTATGTTTAACATCAAAGCAAACCATTTTAAATGTTGTTCAAACATACCACAAATACTTTTTTTTTTTTAAACAAATTTCTATTTAAATAAAATTAAGTGTTCAGTTTTATTAAACCTGTATGTGAAAACCAGGCCAGAAGACTTGATAAATAAAATACTTTTACATTCTTGTCACCGTAGATATGAGCTAAATTGGGGTGAGTATAGTTCAGTCATGAATGAGCTATGCGGATCTCTCAGTTTTTCAGAAGCCTTAATCTAACATTTCATCTCCTCTTAGGTCAGCTGCAACTTTGAGCCTCACCTGCGGGGAAATGTATATGTTCAGTACCAGTCGTAAGTGCCTTGCAGTTAACTCTTTATGACGCTTGAAAGTTAAATACTCCTACATCATAAGCAGTACCCAAGTAATAAAATTTTACTTTTTCCTGTTGGGTTCTAAAAGGTTTAATTCCATATTTCCATTTTACTTAAATTTGAATGTCACTTAAACCCTATTTTATCTAAGTGATTCATCCCCACACTGCAGTAAGAGTCCAAATTTGGTAGAGAACAGAATTTAAAGGATTGTATGATATCCCACTAATGCTACATGCTGCCTTATCTTTAAATTAAAGGGAGCGAGACTGTCAGGAAGCCCTTACTCTATTCAATGGACGATGGTATGCAGGACGACAGCTTCAGTGTGAATTTTGCCCAGTGACAAGGTGGAAAACTGCTATATGTGGTATGTCAGGGATAAACCTTTATAAAAGGGAAAGTCTCTCATTACTGAAAGGCTTATTAGAGAACTGAAAGATTAAGAAGTGATATCTTACAGGCTTTCAAATCAGAGAGATCCACATAAAATTACAGTACAGAAACCTTTTGTGGTGCAAGGCGACAAACTGAAAACATGCATTAACTCAACTACACAAGCTTTGGGCAGGAAGTGTATATGGTGTCCAACTGACACTGCCGGGGGGATTTAGGAAACTGACTGTAGTTAGGATGCAGTAACACCCTCAACCTTTAGGAAGAGTGCTTTGGGATAACAGATGATTGTAAAATAGGCAGGATATCTGTTTTTATATCTCATTCAAAACCAGCAACCTAATTGATTCTGAAACGTTAAAACATAGCTTCTTCATTATGATCAGTGTTAACTATATTTAGCTGTTACCTCAGTCTTGCTACAATCCGAAATGTATTTATCTTGAACAGAAAATTCTTACCTCCAGGATAGCATTTAGGCTATAAGGGGCCAGTCCATGCAGATTAATGACTGGTTTACTCATGCCTTACCTAAAATCCCTGAGATTTAACTAACACCTATCCTGCCCAATTTACATAACTAGGAAAGTTAAGTTATAAAATTACTAGCTCACTTTAGCATAAGACATACTAGAATGTTTGAAAGCTAAAACTAATATCAGGATGGATATGTCTCATGAGTAAGATTGAAGTATAATATTTGAAAAGAATTGAAGTGTGTTTTTCCTTTGTAGATGAGGCTGATAGGCGTGGTATGAATATCTATAGTGGAAAAAGCCAAAAGATTAAGTGCAACAAATCTTTTAAAATACATATTTAACTAAAATGGCCGACATTACATTAAAAAAAATAGAATTGTTGCCTTTATATAATATTACCAGTAACCTTCTTTTTTTAAAAATAAAAATATCTGTTGCAGGTTTATTTGAAAGACAGAAATGCCCGAGAGGGAAACACTGCAACTTTCTTCACGTATTCAGAAATCCACACAACGAGTTTTGGGAGGCCAATAGAGACATACATATTTCTCCTGAACGGACCAATCAGTCAGCCAAAAACTCTGAAAGGAGAAACAGAACAGGCTATCACGAGGACTATTACAGCAAGTCAAGAAGACGGAGCAGCCCCAGCCCAGATCATTCTTACAAAAGAAATGGAGAATCAGAGAGGAAAAAAAGTAGCTACAAGAGCAAGAAAAGACGGCGGTCTAGCAGGTCAAGAAGTTGGGAGCGAAGGCGGTCACATAGTAGAGGGAAGAAGAGGAGAGGTCGTAGTCGCAGCAGAAGCCGTAGTTGTACACGTGGTCGTAGTAGAAGCTCCTCTCGGTCCAGGAGTCGGGGCAAAAAGAGGTCAAATAGCAGAGGAAGAAGTAATGAACCCCTTCCCAAAAAGTGAGAATTCTTTGAGGAGTTGCCACTTGAGCAACTGTAGTGTTACCAAAGATACCATGTGTGCAGTAGATGGCTATGTACCAAGATTAATGTTGTACTACATTAGGGTATATCTTGTATTAAAATGAGTATGATCCAAGCAGGAATTAAGAGTTTAAGAAAGATGGTACAGATTTAATTATTTAAATTTACCACAGGGTCATGAATTCAATATTTTGTGTAAATCCTTCCTGTTGGACTAGACAACTGAATGTATCCTACTATCAGCTGGAGATCAGGGATCAAATTCTCCCCACCGTGGAAGAAAGCTCCCTGTGTTGCTGCTTGCACACAGTGCTTGCGCAGCAGGAATATGGGGGTGAAATTAAGATTGTGAATGTCACTTTGCCTCACCTGCGAGTGACACTGAGCCAGTACTGCATGTATGAACAGCACGGAGGTGGTCCTGCTGAGGGAAGAAGGAGAGCTGCAAGCCAGGAGAACAAAAATACCAAGAGGGAGTGCACACGTGGTTGGTTCAGTGGTAGCCTACTTGATATTCAATACTGTGCTCCTTGAGCTAGCTGTAGAGATTGTGAACTTGGTTCAGCCAGTTAGCTGGGGCATAAATCAAGGCAGTAATGTTGAGGCATGGTAATCTAAAGTGGGTTGTTATTTTTTTAAGTGAAGTAAGGACTAAAGATTACTACAGGGATACTATAAACCAGGGGTCGGCAACCTTTCAGAAGTGGTGTGCCGAGTCTTCATTTAGTCACTCTAATTTAAGGTTTCGCGTGCAGGTAACACAGTTTAACGTTTTTAGAAGGTCTCTTTCTATAAGTCTATAATATATAACTAAACTATTGTTGTATGTAAAGTAAATAAGGTATTTAAAATGTTTAAGAAGCTTCATTTAAAATTAAATTAAAATGCAGAGCCCCCCGGACCGGTGGCCAGGACCTGGGCAGTGTGAGTGCCACTGAAAATCAGTTCGCATGCCGCCTTTGGCACGCGTGCCATAGATTGCCTACCCCTGCTATAAACCAAAACACAGGAGCTGTTAATTAAGGAACAGAGTGGCTGAAGAAATGAATAAAGTATGTATAGGAGAGTAATTAATACTTATAGTGCTGTCAGGACTTACATAAGAACGGCCATACTGGATCAGACCAACGGTCCATCCAGCCCAATATCCTGTCTACTGACAGTGGCCAATGCCAGGTGCCCCAGAGTGAGTGAACCTAACAGGTAATCATCAAATGATCTCTCTCCTGCCATCCATCTCCACCCTCTGACAAACAGAGGCTATGGACACCATTCCTTACCCATCCTGGCTAATAGCCATTAATGGACTTAACCTCCATGAATTTATCTAGTTCTTTTTTAACCCCTGTTATAGTCCTAGCCTTCACAACCTCCTCAGGCAAAGAATTCCACAGGTTGACTGTGTGCTGTGTGAAGAACTTCCTTTTATTTGTTTTAACCCTGCCCATTAATTTCATTTGGTGGCCCCTAGTTCTTATATTATGGGAACAAGTAAATAACTTTTCCTTACTCACTTTCTCCACACCACTCATGATTTTATATACCTCTATCATATCCCCCCTTAGTCTCCTCTTTTCCAATCTGAAAAGTCCTAGCCTCTTTAATCTCTCCTCATATGGGACCCATTCCAAACCTCTAATCATTTTAGTTGCCCTTTTCCGAACTGAATAATGCCAGTATACCTTTTTTGAGATGAGGAAATCACATCTGTACACAGTAGTCAAGATGTGGGCGTACCATGGATTTATATAAGGGTAATAAGATATTTTCCATCTTATTCTCTATCCCTGTTTGAATAATTCCTAACATCCTGTTTGCTTTTTTGACTGCCGCTGCACACTGCGTGGACATCTTCAGAGAACTATCCACGATGACTCTAAGATCTATTTCCTGATTAGTTGTAGCTAAATTAGCCCCCATCATATTGTATATATAGTTGGGGTTATTTTTTCCAATGTGCATTACTTTACATTTATCCACATTAAATTTCATTTGCCATTTTGTTGCCCAATCACTTAGTTTTGTGAGATCTTTTTGAAGTTCTTCACAGTCTGCTTTGGTCTTAACTATCTTTAACAGTTTAGTATCATCTGCAAACTTTGCCACCTCACTGTTTACCCCTTTCTCCAGATCATTTATGAATAAGTTGAATAGGATTGGTCCTAGGACTGATCCTTGGGGAACACCACTAGTTACCCCTCTCCGTTCTGAGAATTTACCATTTATTCCTACCCTTTGTTCCCTGTCTTTTAACCATTCTCAATCCATGAAAGGATCTTCCCTCTTATCCCATGACAACTTAATTTACGTAAGAGCCTTTTGGTGAGGGACCTTGTCAAAGGCTTTCTGGAAATCTAAGTACGCTATGTCCACTGGATCCCCCTTGTCCACATGTTTGTTGACCCCTTCAAAGAACTCTAATAGATTAGTAAGACATGATTTCCCTTTACAGAAACCATATTGACTTTTGCCCAACAAGTTATGTTCTTCTATGTGTCTGACAATTTTATTCTTTATTATTGTTTCAACTAATTTGCCTGGAACTGACGTTAGACTTACCGGTCTGTAATTGCCGGGATCACCTCTAGAGCCCTTTTTAAATATTGACATTACATTCAGAACTCTTGGGTGAATGCCATCTGGTCCCGGTGACTTGTTACTGTTAAGTTTTTCAATTAATTCCAAAACTTCCTCTAGTGACACTTCAATCTGTGACAATTCCTCAGATTTGTCACCTACAAAGGACGGCTCAGGTTTAGGAATCTCCCTAACATCCTCAACCGTGAAGACTGAAGCAAAGAATTCATTTAGTTTCTCCGCAATGACTTTATCGTCTTTAAGTGCTCCTTTTGTATCTTGATCGTCCAGGGGCCCCACTGGTTGATTAGCAGGCTTCCTGCTTCTGATGTACCTAAAAAAACATTTTATTACCTTTTGAGTTTTTGGCTAGCTGTTCTTCAAACTCCTTTTTGGCACTTATTACATTCTTACACTTAATTTGGCACTGTTTATGCTCCTTTCTATTTACCTCACTAGGATTTGACTTCCACTTTTTAAAAAATGCCTTTTTATCTCTCGCTGCTTCTTTTACGTGGTTGTTAAGCCACGGTGGCTCTTTTTTAGTTCTTTTACTATGTTTTTTCATTTGGGGTATACATTTAAGTTGGGTCTCTATTATGGTGTCTTTGAAAAGTGTCCATGCAGCTTTCAGGGGTTTCACTCTAGTCACTGTACCTTTTAATTTATGTTTAACCTCCTCATTTTTGTATAGTTCCCCTTTCTGAAATTAAATGCCACAGTGTTGGGCTGTTGAGGTGTTCTTCCCACCACAGGAATGTTAAATGTTGTTATATTATGGTCACTATTTCCAAGTGGTCCTATTATAGTTACCTCTTGGATCAGATCCTGCGCTCCACTCAGGACTAAATCAAGAATTGCCTCTCCCCTTGTGGGTTCCTGTACCAGCTGCTCCAAGAAGCAGTCATTTAAATTATTGAAAAACGCTGTCTCTGCATTTCGTCCTGAGGTGACATATACCTAGTCAATATGGGGATAATTGAAATCCCCCACTATTATCGAGTTGTTTATTTTGATAGCCTCTCTAATCTCCCTTAGCATTTCATCGACACTATCACTGTCCTGGTCAGATGGTCAATAGATCCCTACTGTTATATTCTTATTAGAGCATGGAGTTACTATCCATATAGATTCTATGGAACATGTGGATTCATTTAAGATTTTTACTTCATTTACTTCATTTTTACTACATTTTCTTTCACATAGTGCCACCCTCAATGCACAAGGAATGACTTCCTCATTCCAATTCCTTATACGCTTTCCTACGTGGAGCATGCGAAGCGGTAATAAAATAACTTCTAGAAATCAAGGTTAATTTTGATAGATGGGGTGCTATTAGTGTTTAAAATCTTCGTTTGCATTCCAAATGGATGTTTGAAACCAGTACAATCTTGGGGTATAAATTAGATACAATACTTAAGGAGAGATTTTCAAAGGGCAATTAGGCGCCTAACTCCCACTGATTTTTTCAAGACGAGCTGGGAGCCTATCTGGTTCTTGAAACTATCCCCCATAATGCAGATACTTACTTATAGCCACACTATTAAATAGAAAAGGAAATATTTATTCCAGCCTTGACTTGAGGGTGCAGCTTCTTCTAAAGCTTTGACCATGCATCAGTGGTTAATAGCAATAGTGCATTCAGCAGGTGCTAACTGTTGTATTTTTCCTCCACATTTAAGCTATTTGGGTATGCATTCAGCACCAAAAACTAGACTGCCACAAGTCTGCTGCTACAGCTTTGAGGTGTTAGCATTCATTTTCCAACTGCTTTCATACCTCATGTTTCAGTACTACTGTTTCCCATAACACCTAAGTGAGGTCTGAGTGATTCTGAAGCCTTCTCACAAACGGTCATGTGCATGGCTTTTTGTAATTACACTACAGGTTAGTGATTATTTTTATTTGAAATCGAAACCAAAGGTGGGGTTTTTTTTTAATGTAAGCTTAAATTTTGCAAGGGAAATAGCAAAAGGGCTCAACAAGGAACTAAATTCAGAGGATGGATTTTCTGTGATGTGTATATCTACTGCCATTACAGCTCATGAAGATTTTTTACAAAATGCAGTAGTACTGACACAGCTCCTATCATGTGGTATCCTAAAGGAGTATGACAGTAGCACTGAGGGGCCCCAGTGTGCTAGGTACTGTACAAATACAGAGACAGTCCTTGCTCCATGGAGCTTACAATCTAAGACAGACCCCCCCAGAATAAGGGCATTTCAAGCAGTCTATTATGAGTGTAGGCTATTGACAAGATCCCACCCCAAAGTGAGACGTAATCCTGGTGGAGTGTACTTTAAACAGGGCTCCTGTACTGCTGCTGCATTTCTTCAGAGCATGTCACTAATTTCATGGTTATACTTCAGAGCAAAGCTGAAAGTTACTGAGCCAGATGCAGGG